CGGGCGAACCGAAAATCACTCTATCAGTTACTTGCGAACAAGAATAGTCGTTCACAACCTAGATGGACATGAACACCCCATCCGAACGGTTGTAGTGTCAACTGTACAGTTTGTCTTGACTGATTAGTTGTACTAGTACATTTATGTATTGAACAGGATCCCAGAGAGGAGAAGTTCATTTTATACTGATCGTCGTAAATGAACTAGACCTCGGTTAATTACTGCGTTCTCTTAACCCGTAAGATATTAAACAGGCAGATATATATAATATATATTACTTTGATTCACATGGGTGAAGTTCAGTTCGCTGGATTAATATTCCTATTGTTTTGGGTAATATTATTATATATAGGATGTGCTGTTAGGATATTTACGGTCACCATGTGCGTTAGTTTGATGATGTCCCCGGAGTGAGTTCATGAAGGATTGTTATGCTAAACCCTGCAGGTGGATTAAATTTCGGCATAATAAGAATGTGATGAACGAGCGCTAGCTTCGGTGAAATAATAATAAATTAATTAATTCTTGATTGTCAGTAATCGAATTAATTAATGGACATTATATCTTAAACGTGGGGAGGTAAATCGAGTAATTATTATTGGAGTCTCAAATGTAATTTGGGCTAGGGAAATGGAGTGCAATAATATAATGTTGTGGCCCATTAATATTATTTAATTAATTAGAGGAGTGGTTTTGGCCCACAGTTAGTCTAATTAATTAATGAGCCATTTTCCTAATCTCCTTAGGATCCCTACTGTAGCTCTATATATACATCATTAAGCTCATGAGAAGAGAAAAGAAGTCTCATTCACACGAGATACACGCCTCACACGCCTCTCTCTCTCTAGATCTCATTTGAGCTTTATCTTCTTCTTGTTGCTCCACTGGTACAAGTTGAAGAAGGGTGTATTGAGTAATACAGTAGAAGATCTGTAGGTAAAACGAGACGAAATATATTTTGACCTACAGAACTAACCGAAGTCCGATTGAGACGTACAGTATACCCAGACGACCGTCTCGACGGGAGCTTTCCATCGCTGCCGACGTCGCCGAAATCCGACGCCGCACGCGCCCCCACGCGCCGCCGGAAGGTGCCAGGCAGCAAAATTTCGTTTTGATCTGTTTGCATCCGTTTGATCCAGTTTTGATCTCATCTTGTTCGCGCAACCCAAGACGTGATTTGCGGTCAATCAATTGCGGTCAACCGTTCGTGGTCAACCAGATCTACATAAATTTCAAGCCGTAAGTTCTCTACGTCAAACCTTTAGATCCGCTGCGCATAGGTTTACGTTTGCTATTGAATTCGTGATTTGTACATAACGAGATCCTCACAGATCCCAACAGTTTACAAATTGCAACTATATAGAATTAACCACCTTTGAATTAATCACCTTTTGATAGGCCTTTTTTCTTCCTGCTCCTTTGTATCTGATAGTGGCCATTATAGTGATATTTGTTCTAGTTTAACTTGTGATGCTGTTATGCAGCAGAAAAGCCATAACTGGCTATGATGATTGGGCTCTATTGCTGGTTTTTTGGCTACTCTTTTGATTTTGTGATCCGTGGATCACCGTTTTGTAAGATGTTTTTTCTTTGAATGCAATGTTATCTATCGTTTGGANCTGATGAGTAAAAGTTCTGGACAAAGATGGTGGTTCTTTTATATTACTAAATAGCTAAAATGTATCAAAATAATTTCAATATGAAATGCATATTGCAATATTTATAGCCAACTTCATAGAATCTGAGGATTGTTTGATAAAATATTCGAATTGTAAGTTGAATGATGATGAGATATTTAAATAATTTCAATATGAAATGCTTAAATATTTAGGAAAATGCTACAAATACATAATAAATGTACATAGCACTCACATTGAGTGAGTCTACTTGATTTTTTATTTTTGGTAGGAACCACTTAATATGAGTGTTATGTACACCTCTATGTTCACTACTATGTACTTATAGCATATCTCAAATATTTATAGCCAACTTCATAGAATATGAGGATTGTTTGATAAATTATTGGAATTGTGAGTTGAATGATGATTAGTCGAATATTTAGTCGTTGATTATTCATAAAGAAATAAATTTTTATACTTTCAAAGAATTAATTGTTTCATCAATTAGGGTTTGGATCACTAGAAAAGTTTTATACTTAGTAGTGATGCAGATCCAAAATTTTCATTGGATGATTAATTGATAGGAATCCAGATTTTCACGAACCGAAAAGTAATTAAGTCTGTCTTTTAACTTTGAATTGAAAATAATGAATGAATCTTAATTCAAGTAATCTCGTAAATAAATCATAGTGAAAGTTTGGGTTAAAATAATATTAATATCTATATATTAATCAAAAACAAATAATTATATCTCTTAATAAAATGTTTTTATATTATTATCATATATACAACACAGATTACACACTATAATATAAATTAAAAAAAAAAAAAAATCATATATTAGACAAATTACTGTGAAGCTAGTCTAAAATCTCAAATGTTTCCTCTACAGGTTAAGGTAGGTTGCAGTGTAGCAGTAGCACAAAAAGGGACTTATATTATTATTATTATTGTTATTATTGTTCATTATTATTATTAATTTATTATTATTATTATTGTTGTTGTTGCTGTTGCTGTTGCTTTAATGGAATAATAACCATGCTACTATAATTGAAGACAAAAATAATCAAACCAAATTCGAAGAAAGTAACAATGCCGTACACATCAGGTAAATGTAAGCATTGTTTGTTTAAATATATTTTTATCTCAACTAGTATTCGACCTGTGCAAATACACAAATATAAATAAAGTATTGTAAGTTATTTGTATGCATATAATGATTAATGATTTTTCTTGCACTTTTTTGCATGCTAAATTTACAATTAAAGGAGCTGAAATATTTATTTTTTTAAATTGTGTTTATCATATTGGATGTAATGTGTATTTTGGTATGTATTTTTTTGTGAATTATTTATTATTTATTTAGGAATTTCAAATACGTTTTTTATTTTACAAAAGAAGTTAATTTAAATATAACCACAACAATGACATCTAATCACGTTAAATAGTCAACACATTATATGGTCAGCTGTAAGTAAATCAAAAGTTTAAAATAATTTTTGTAATTTTGAAGTGATTAGTGTGTTGATTATCCAATAATTAAATGAGAGATTAAATAAATAAAAAGTAACGGTTTTTTGAGGGAAAAATTATATTGTCACATAGGTATAATTTAATTGGTTTTATTAAATACTCATGAACCAGCAATTATATATATATATATATATATATATATATATATATATATATATATATATATATATATATATATATATATATATATATATATATATATATATATATATATATATATATATATATATATATATATATATATATATATATATATATATATATATATATATATATATATATATATATATATATATATATATATATATATATATATATATATATATATATATATATATATATATATATATATATATATATATATATATATATATATATATATATATATATATNTCAAGAATACCAGCCCTACGCCCAAAAAAAAAAAATAATCAATTTCTTACATAAATTGTATACCATACTCGAGTTCTACACAATACACACCACAAATTACCGAGAGGTCCACTCGACGGAGACGGAATTATAGTAAAAAGAGAAAAACGAACAAACATATTATAATACAAACAATTGAACAAAGATTTGAATTTAAATATTTTTTTTAAAAAAATGATATGAATAATTGAACATATAAAACACTTACATTAGAAGTATAAAGATGAAAGATGAATAGATGAGAGATGGCAGATGAGTGGTGTTCGGACGAGTAATTTTGGAATTAGTGGATTTTATTTTTCCCGAAAGAATTGGGGATCTTAAGACTTTGTGAGTTGAGAAGGTTATTTTTCTTTTGCCTTGTCTGTACCTGCGTGCGTGAGTAATGGGGAGAAAACGTGTATTTCCTTTTTCTTTTTTTACTTTTAATATAAACGACGTCGATTGGCTTCCAATTTTTAATTAAATGGCCAAAAAACGACGTCGTTTTAAAGCCTGATTAAAAAAAAAAAAAACAGAAGAAAAATGCCTTACCAGTTCATCTTCTTCCCTAGTCGCACAGCCTCCATTTTTGCCTTTTTTCACCCAATGTTTCTGTTAAAAATTGTAATAATATATAGCTTTAGCAGTAATATTCCCCAGGCTCGCCTAAGAGTAAATCCGCCCTTGATATTACGTAATAGTTATTACTAAAACTAATCAATTCTAATTCACACTGAATAATACATAGGGGTTCAATTAGTATAAGAAATTATATTACGTATTTTGTTCTTAAAATATTGATTGTGCATCTCATTAATTATTTTTTAATAAGCTAATCAACTTTAGTGGTATAACTAAACTTTTTAAAATTATATAATAATAACAATAATTTAAATACTTTTTAAGATAAATAATATGCGAGGATCCATTAAATTTACAAAAACTATATATCCATTTAATTTTATGGAATTAATATAGTTGGTGAAATTGAGTACTTTGATATTGTTCATTTTTATTAATGGTAAAATTTTTAAAATGTAATATTTATTGCCTAACTTATAATTTTTATATTACATATATATATATATAACTTATGAGAATTTAAATATGAAAAATGCTACATGTACATAATATTGTACATAGGAGTGTACACAACACTCACATTGAATGAGACGTACCAAAAATAAAAAATCAAGTGGACCCTATGTACAACTCTATGTACATTTATTATGTACATGTAGCATTTTCTTTTAAATATTTATACATGTACACATGATTGAATAATAATTTGTAAAAATATTTTGGAAAGGGTTAACCGTTGGCCGGTGAATGACTGTATAGAAACAGAAAAAAAACGTGAAGCAGATTGGAAAAAAGTCAAAAACTAGTGGATCGTTTGTGCAACACGCGCCTACAAACGCAACATCCACACGAATAGTCACGCATTGGGAAGCGCACTGAACATCTCCTACGTAGTCCTTATCACTAATTTTCTCTCTATAAATCCATATATATGGGAGTATTGATTTCTCACACCTACTGAGAGCATACTCGTCGATCTCATAACTGTGTAGCATTTTTTGTTTTTCCTTTTTTTGTTTGTTTATTCGTGGGAAAAAAATGGAGGGAGTGGATTACCTAGCTGGCGAGAGGAAGAAGGCGGAGTTCGATGTCCAGGCTATGAAGGTTGTCTGGGCCGGCTCGCAGCACAACCTGGAAGTTTCCGATCGTATATCCAAGCTCGTGGGCGAGGATCCAGTAAAATTATTTTAGAATTTTCTGATCTCCTTGCTGCTGTGCTTTTCTTTTCTCTGTTTCGATTTTGGGGAATGTTGGGGTTTGTGCGAGGATTGATTTGGGTCGGTCGAATTTTGGGCAAATTTATGGTTCGATTGAATTTTTTGGGGCGTTTTGGTGAATTTTGTTTTGGTTAGAGTTGCTGTGATTTGTATATGTTTTTTGAATGAGTATCTTGTGCTTGTGTGTGCTTGTTGTGTTCTTGAATTTGATATGCTTAGGTATTTTGTAGAAATAAGTGAAATGCCATGATAAACTAGCTCGAGTTTTCTGAAGCTGGGCAAATTTTGGTCAGAGTTGCTGTGACTCTTACAAGTTTCCTGTTATGAATATCTTGTGTGTGTGTTCGAGCGTGTTGTGTTCTTGAATTTGATATGCTTAATTATTGTCTAGAAATATCGAGCGAAATATTATGCAAAACTTGCTCGAGTTTTCTGAAGCTGGAATTTGAATGTGAAGCACAAGTGATAAAAGTCAAATTATGGGCGATGCAGATAACGATTAATTAGCAAGAGTAATGCTATAGAGCCAACTTGAATTACAACTTGGGTTACAACTTAAGTGTAATTATTTTTTAACTTTTTGATAATACATTTACACTTGGGTTGTAACCCAAGTTGTCATCCAAGTAGGCTAAATAGCATTACTCAATTAGCAAATGGTTGGGTTTGAGTTACCATGTATAATTACTTAGTTTGAAATGTACCTCTTCAGAAAGGTCAACTGTTGGGAGTTTTTTTTTTTTTTTTTTTTTNCTCCTTTCGTCCAGGCTGCCATACTTCAACTTCTATGGCTTAATTTGGGGATGAATTTTAGTTTTCAAATTTCTTCTTTCATCAAATCAAACCATTTCATTGCACTGTTCCTGTGTGGTTGGATATACATTAACGTATTCCTAGGAGAATAAAGTAAAGAGTGAGTAAATAACGTATTTCTGAAAATTTTCATAAGCAATCACATTTGGAGACTATTCAATATGTTTTAGCGGCTTGAAAGTAAAGACTTCCTTACAACCTAGTCAACAAAGATGAATGAACTTTGAAATTGATTTAGTATGAGTTAGAAAATGTTGATGGAAGTTGCTTTAGTGTTAGAAATAGTCTAATAATGATGGAGTTGCATTAGTAGTTTGAAACTTTGAGGGGGTGAATAGTGGAATTTCTGGAAAAATGGCAATAATTATTAATTGGATGTTTTTCTGAAGATTAAGTAGAAGTAATGGACCAAGAAAATTTTATGAACCAGTATCTTTCTTCTCGTAGTTCTACTTGTCAATTGCAATGTGAAATAAATGCTTTATTTAGTGGAAGAAAAATGGCAATGTTTACATGCACTGATAAAAAATTCTAATTTTATATATGTCCTGGCAACACAGAGTAACTCATATTTAAAAATACTAGTTGAATCTTGGTATTCTCCTTTCTTCAATCTCCCTGAACAAAGGAAGCCTTAGTTGCCCCGTTATAATGGAAACTTCGAAGTGTATAAACCCTCGCATCAAAAGCCTGTTAAACTAAATAAAAGACTGATCTTCTTTAAATTTATCTGAAGTTATGTGAAATTATTTGGGTTTCTTTGTTTATCTGTTTATAGAAAATTTATGCTTTTATCATGTTGGATTTAGGTATTCCGTAAAGATGACAGAACTATGCTTCCAAGAAAGGAATTGTTCAAACAAACCCTTAGAAAAGCAGCTTATGCCTGGAAACGGATTGTTGAGCTTCGTCTTTCAGGTTTGAGCTCTTTCTCCAGACTTTAAAGTGATGTCAGTGGTCTTTGTTTATCAGTGAGAATATCTAATGCCGTCCTTATGATGTTCATGGTTGCAGAAGAAGAGGCATCTAAATTAAGGTTTTATGTGGATGAACCAGCTTATACTGATCTTCATTGGGTAGTCTATTCTTTAAGATTTTCGTTATTTGCTGGAGAAGATATTTTTTCTGATATTTTAAATATAAAAGGATCCACCATTATAACTTGCTCCCCGCTATTCAGGGAATGTTTATACCCGCGATCAAAGGCCAGGGCACTGAGGAACAACAGCAGAAATGGTTGCCATTGGCCTACAAGATGCAGATAATTGGCTGCTATGCACAAACTGAACTTGGTCACGGTTCAAATGTTCAAGGTCTGGAGACCACAGCAACATTTGATCCTCATACGGATGAATTCATAATTCACAGTCCTACGTTGACTTCAAGCAAAGTGAGTTTGACATGAATAAGATTTGTGGCTTGTATTCTGTTTAAGCGAAAAAGGGGATCTGTTGCTTTGTTTCCAAATAATATCTAAACGTTGATGTGATTCGGTCTTATATTTGAAACTTAGAATGTTGATTTATTTTATTTTTCTATGGCCTTCCTCCAATTGGTTTTCCCCAAATAGTGGTGGCCTGGCGGACTAGGCAAAATATCCACACATGCAGTTGTTTATGCTCGTCTCATTCTAGATGGTAAAGATCATGGTGTTCATGGTATGTATGTGTCGCCCTCCTTTTGTTCATGTAACTGTTATTGTGTAATTCCTTCAACAAGATATCGTATATTTACTTTGTTCTTTCTAGGCTTTATTGTCCAACTACGGAGCTTGGAGGACCACAGTCCTCTTCTGGGAATCACTGTTGGTGATGTTGGAATGAAATTTGGAAATGGAGCATACAACACCATGGACAATGGGGTGTTGAGATTTGATCATGTCCGCATACCAAGAAATCAGATGTTGATGAGGTTTGTTTTTATCTCAGATGCCATTTTACTTTTCTTTGTTAATTTAATGTCATCTATGTTTCATTTGTTAGGATTGAGTATTTCGAATGACCAATCGATGCTATTAATCATGAGCAAAGCAATGTTTTATCGACATTGCATGCTAATTTTTTGCATAGATATATTCTTTATATGTTAGTTATGACATGTTTAAATGATGTGGAAAGTATGACCTGACGTGATTTACCGTTTCAGGGTTTCACAGGTGACAAGGGAAGGGAAATATAAGCAATCAGATGTGCCGCGGCAGCTTGTTTATGGAACCATGGTTTATGTCCGTCAAAAAATTGTAGCAGATGCTTCTTGTTATTTATCAAGAGCAGTTTGTATTGCTACTAGATACAGTGCTGTACGCAGACAGTTTGGATCACAGAATGGAGGACCTGAAACTCAGGTACAAGATTACCAGTTCTTCGGAGTGTATTAGGTACTAAGGTTTTGGACGCTACACCTTTCTTGAGTAGAATCTATTTTCTCATTATTTGTCACAGGCCAGTGAGCGATATTTCTTCACCGTTTCATGCCTTCTTAATTCTGTCTTTATTGCATGTTCTTGATTGACCCGATGCTGTGATTAATTTGTTGGTGGTACTCTTTTTAGATATATCAGCTATCTTATTCTTACTATCAGGGGTGGGTATCTTCCCTCACCAAAAAACAAAAGTATATATAGTAGTTTAATCATAATTAGATTTTACTAGAAACTTTCAAAAATTGCCCCGTGATTTAATTTGGCTAGATGATTAATGTTTCAAACCTCAGGAAAAGGGTTCACATGTCTTATCCAAAGAGTCCAAAAGGAATAAATAAATAAATAAATAAAGGAAAGAAAATGTTGTACCATGAGTCTATGATTAAGGATTTTCTTTTTTCTATAGTTAATCTTGTATGTGAAAATATTAAAGTCGGCCCTGTACTACAAATTCTGGCTCCTCCTTTGCTTACTATAGTTCACTATGTTTCAAGTTAAGAGAATGTGTCTTGTCCAGCTGGAAATTTATGATGATTTTGTTTCTATGTATCCTCTATATCTGGTTTGGATTTTTGTCTTTTTTTACTTCTGTATATAGTTAAACATTCACTCTGAATGAATGGACATCTTCAGCTTTATTGTCGAGCCAATAATTCAGCTAGTAAATAACTGTGGCCTGCCATCGAGTTTTACTCAATCTATAACTGTTCTACTGTGGAAAAGCTTTTGTCACCTCCTCAGGCACTTGTTAAATAACTTGTTTTTACCTCAGAAGCAAATAACTTCTGCATATATGACATCCTGTGTAGGTCATTGATTACAAAACCCAACAAAGCAGACTTTTTCCTTTGCTGGCTTCTGCTTACGCCTTTAGATTTGTTGGAGAATGGCTTGAATGGCTTTACATGGATGTAACAAGAAGACTGAGAAACAATGACTTCTCGACTTTGCCTGAGGCTCATGCTTGCACTGCAGGGTTGAAGTCCCTGACTACATCTGTCACTGCTGTACGATACAACTGACATTCATTTTTTTTTTTTTCTCTCTCAAACATGGCTCATGGGTACAAATATATTAAGGTTTTTGTTCTCTTTGGAATTTCCCTGGTACACATATGTAGGATGATGCACTGATAAAATTTTTACGAGCAAAGGTTCTACTAATTGAATAAGTTTGTTTTATTTTACTTTGTCAGTCTTTTAATCATCCTTTGCTTCTTGCCACAGGACGGCATTGAAGAATGCCGGAAGTTATGTGGTGGCCATGGTTACCTTTGTAGCAGTGGGCTACCAGAATTATTTGCAGTATATGTTCCAGCTTGTACATATGAAGGAGACAACGTTGTCCTGCAACTACAGGTAGTTCCTCTTAGATCTGCGTCTCTAATGTTTCTGGTGACTAATACTTTCTTTTCTCTTTATCTTTTTCCTGTTGTACTTGATTGGAGCGTGTAGCTGAATACCATAGTTATTTGTTGAACTTGATCACCGTTGCTGGTAATATGTATGTCCAGATTGAAATAATTGACGCAACTCTTCTTTTGGACGTCATAGACTCATAGCTACTAAAGTTGATTTTTTAATTTTTTGGAAAATGGATATGCGTATCTGGTATATTGTTCCCTTATTTTTGCTTTTGGAATTTCCAAGTTGACTTGGACCTTTTATTTTTTTATTTTTATTTTGCACAATTCCTCATAGGTAATTCTGTCAAAGGTTTTTTTTGGTTCATTAGATTTGGGTTTCGTTTTCTCTATGTAGAATAAATATATATTAGTCTGTTATAAATGAAAGAAAAATAATGTTTAGTATCTTCTTTAAGAAGGGGCAAGGAATAATAAAGTGAAACATGTATCTTTTACCCCCCATTTGTATAGCAGTTTAGTTTCTTCTTGAAGAAGGGACAAGGATAAATAAAGTGAAACATGTATCTTTTGCCCTCCAGTTGGATAGCCTGTGAAATTGCTAGCTGCAAGCATGTTTTTCCTGTACATAGCTTTACTCCCATAGTCCCCATTTTTCTGGTGCAATTTTCCTTTTCATCTTTGCAAATTTAGCGTGGAATGCAAGTATAGAAGTAAATATACACTGGAACATTTTTAGTTGTTTGGACAGTTAAATGGTTACACCTTCCGTATGCTAATTTTGGAGTTTCATGAATTCAATTTAAGTTATTCATTGCGTGTAAACACAGCGTTTCCTTTGCTATAAATTAGTTTTTAGCTTATCAACTACATTATCTCATGTAGGTTGCTAGGTTTCTCATGAAAACCGTCTCCCAGCTTGGGAGTGGCAAACAGCCTGTGGGGACCATTGCTTATATGGGAAGAATCGAACATCTAATGCAATGCCGGTGTAATGTACAAAAAGGTATGCTGCTATGTTATATGCACAGTAGTTAAACTGGACCATAAAAATACAAAATTGTGAGAAGATGTTCTCTGCGTACTTATAGTTTGATTAGCATGATTTTCTTTTCCGATCCAGTACCCAAAACCTACTGCTGCTAGGAGTTTGTGATAATCATAAATATAAACAAGATATCTACTACTTCGTATGAATAATGTTGAGTCACCTGCAGCTGAGGATTGGTTAAAACCTGATCAAGTATTGGAAGCGTTTGAGGCAAGAGCAGCTAGAATGTCCGTTTCCGTGGCTCGGAACCTAAGCAAGTTTGCCAACCCTGAAGAAGGTACTCTATGCTTATCGGTTGCTTAATTTTTTTCTGCCCTGTAGTTTGTTTATGATAAGCTTTGGAAAATTGTAAATGTTAATGAGTTTGCTGTATTAAAGTGAAACTACTTTATAAATTGTGGCTGAAAATGGCCTGCGTAAGTGAGTGGAGAACTGTGGAATTAGATGCTTATAAGTTTTGTTGAACTTTTATGAGTTTCATCAGTTGTATAAACACTTAAATTTCTATTAAGTTGTTTATTAGTATAAAATTAGTACCTTAACAATTGGGAGTTAACTGTGCTTGAGTTCAATTCTGATCAGTTCATGTCTTGTAGTTGTTTTTTCTAACTTCCTTGTATCGTTCTTGCTAGGCTTTGCTGAGCTGTCGGCTGATTTGGTTGAGGCAGCAATTGCTCACTGCCAGTTAATTGTCGTCTCCAAGTAAGCCTTTTGTTATGCTTTCTTTTCTTCTTATTCTTCTTTTATTTTATTTTTCTTTACAACTGATATTGTGAAAGATATAATGGGGATGAGGTCAAGGGGTTAAGTTCGACTGATCTTTTCTCCACTTAATTAATGCTTTTAAACTTTGAAGCGACTGTAAACTTTTTCTGCACCACTGTGGAATCTGTTGCAGACTGTAGAGTTTAGACTGTGTTTGTTCCCTAGGAATATGGTCCAAATTAGTAGATCCTTTTGTATCAATGACAAATTTCAAAGAATATTGGTGTCTTAGGCTCATAGCCAAATAATTTGGTGCAAGTCTATCAAGGGGCGTCTTTTGGACTATATATTGAAAAATAAATGGTCCAGTCCTTTATCAACTTGCATGATTTTTGTATTTTCTTGCATGATTTTTGTATTTTCTGGGGTTGCTACAAAATTTGCCCTTGTCATTTAATATAACCTTTAATCACGAGAAACAACAAATACTTAAAAGTTTTAGAAATCTACAAGTACCTGTTATTGTGCTGCAAAATTACAAGCATTGACGTACAATGCTACAATCACACCATTGCGATTTTATATTATCTAACAAATGCTTTTTTCATGAGCGCACCATAAATTTTGGCATAAAGGTTTCCACAAAATGATTTGTTAGTGTAGGAATTGTTGATTTTGAAGCGGATGCGACGTGTAAAATGATACGGCATGTGTATTATGTTGAAGCATATGTCATCCATTATGTTCACGTTGCATGTAAGACTAGTTTTGGTGTACATTTTTGTTACCCAATGGAATTTGCTCCACCCAAGCATATTGATGTACATATCGGTTATTTACCAGAGCACTTTACTTATTGTCCAAAAGGAAAAAAAGAAAAATCAAACCCAATGTTTTGTATGGAGAGCATTGTTTTGTAAATTTCAATCACCTAGACTTGCTTCTCTGAACAATTTTTTTTTTTAGATTTATCGAGAAGGTACAGCAAAATATTGTGGGCGAAGGTGTGAAGCAGCAGTTAGAAGCACTTTGTGGTATCTATTACCTCTCTCTTCTCCACAAGCACCAGGGCGATTTCCTGTCCACGAGTTATCTCACGCCTAAGCAGGCTGCACTTGCTAATGATCAGCTTAGATCATTGTTCACCAAGGTTCGTATCTTAGGACATTACCTTATGTGCACACCCTTCATTTTGCAAGCCTTAAAAAATCCGAGAAAGTTGTAATTCCAAAGAAAAAACTCGAAAAACCGGAAAAGCTTAATGAAACCACCTAAACTCTTAAAAAAGTAAGTGCATGCTTGGATACAAGTTGTTCT